TTTTGTGAAGCCTTGATTTGAATCAAGAAGAAACTGTGATTCAAATCAATTTAAGAAGAACCTAAATATGGTTTCATTGAGACATTTTATTCAAGTCATGATTTACACTTGATTCGAGTCACATACGGTTGTGATTTGAATCATGTTCATTTTGTGATTCAAATCAAATCATCTAGAGGCAAGTCCCAAATTTCATAAGGCTTCTGATTCAAATGATGTTCATTTTGTAATTCGAATCAAATCATCTAGAGGCAAATCCTAACTTTTATAAGGCTTCTAATTCGAATCATGCTTAACACTTAATTTGAATTAAGCAACTCAACATCTTGATTTAAGAGCTCTAACTTGTGTTTCACGCCATTTTTAATGAAACAACAAAAATGCAACTTACTAGGATGAAAAAGGGACATTATCATGGATCAAAAACTCTTATTTAATTGAGTAAAGAGGAGTCTCAATGGTACAACAACACAATAGTCAAACCAATTACAATACAACTGAAATGTGAATAAAGTACAAGCACCCAAATATTAAATGAAAATCAAATTACAAATACGCAAACAAACTATTCAAATTAGCAAAATCATCAAAACAAGTAAGTGATACCACACGATAATGTGACTGCACTTTCAGTTTCCCCCTTTTTATGTTTGGCAACTTTGAAGATATTATTGTTGATAAATTTATGTGAGTGTTATTTGGAATTTGATGGATGAAATGAATCTAGAGTGTTTCCTTAACGTGCATGTGATTAGTGTACAACACTTTGCTTGAGTTGTAAAAGTTGTAAAGCTCCCCATGTGATTAGTGTACAACATTTCGCGTAAGCTGTAAAAGTTGTAAAGCTCCCTATACATTAAACACTTAATGCGTGTGAATATTGATAACATCTTGATACCTTCTCCCCTTTTGATAAATATAAAAAAATATAAAAGATAAAGAGAAAGCATACACAAACAGTTGAATCCAAGATAATACAAAGCAAAAAAATGTCATATAGAAATCTAAACAAACACCATATAAATCATATATGAAACCAATTATCACAAGCACACAATTATAATAATGGATCAACAAAAATATAGCATAAAGAGAGTCACAGAGATACCATGCATACATGACTAAGAGACTTGTCAAAAGATACATAATCTAAAAAGTAGTCAAGGATCACAAAATAGTCAGATAACCAATATATCATAATTACCCATATATGCTAATTTTATGATATGCATGAAAAGATAAAATAAAATCAAGTAAGGTTAGTTGCTTCAGCGGAAGAAGGTGCAACAACTGTAGGATTTGAAACAGGGTCAGTAGGCTCTAGATCAAAATTAGGAGTACTAATAGGAAAGACGATAGAGAAACTACCAAGATCACAAAATAGTTAGATAAAAAATATATCATAATTATCCATATATGCTAATGTTATGATATGCATGAAAAGCTAAAAATAAACTCAGGGAACGTTAGCTGCTTCAGCAGAAGGAGGTGCAACAACTGTAGGATCTAAACCAAGGTCAGTAGGCTCTGGATCAAGATCAGAAGTACAAATAGGAAAGACGATAGAGAAACTACCAAGGTGCTCAACAACAGCTGCCATATAATCCACCTAAGTAAAGACTCAGGCTTCACCATCTTGCATTTTAGTTTTAAACTCTTCCTTCAGCTTTACACGGCTATCCTCACCTTCAATATGTGCTCCGTTCATCCTTAACTTGAATATCCTATAAATTATGCCTAATTAGATCATCAAGATACGATTTCACATCAACAAAGAACAATCCAGTGCCAGATCCACCAGCCTCATCAGAAGGGTCCTTCACTAGCTCCATAATCCGGTCTTCATATATTTTTCGGCCAGATTTCTCAAGATAATATTAAACACCATAATGTTTATGTATTATCGCATCTTATAAACTTTAGATTTGTCTAGAATATTAGGAGCTTCCACTAAGTCTTTTTCCTTGGACACAATTCGATTAATTTCCATAATCATCTCCACGAAAGAAGAGAAAAACATAGGACTTTTTGGTTTTGCCTTGCAGTAGAGCACCCTAACAATAAAAAACTTTACCTAGTTTACCCCCTTTCATTAAGAATAACCCACATCAGGTAGAGATCAACATCATCAACTCTACCCCAATTTATGGATTTCCTGTATAGCACCTTAACAACAATCTAATTCAAAATTCGCATATCAAATTTCACTTGACTGTTAGGAAAGTTTACCATGCCAATGTTCTCAGAACAAAGTGAATCATATCATAATCAGGTGATTTTGTAACAGATATGTCGGGTCCCTCATATGTCGAACCAAGATACTTCGTAATATCCATGTAATTAAACTTTTTTGTACGATCCTCAAATCTGTTTTCAATGCCAACATGAGTTTGTTCAAGATTAAACAGAAAGCTTTAACATGTTAAGGGTTAAACCTGTTGTTCAAATCAATAAATTTCAAAAACTTATGGTCAACAAATGGTTTTAAAAACTTTTCTCTCAACTCAGTTTCAGAAGTAGGATCAATATTGTACTCTGGCTCAACAAGCTTATTCAAAAAAATTTCATGGTACAATTTCAAACTATCCTCAGGTAGAAGATGTTTTACCTTGTGCCACAAAGTAGAAATGGTTTGACTCTAAGAAGATTGCTTACTTGACTTCTTGTCAGTTTGCCATCAAACGAATCTTTGCTTGCTTGAATTTTGCTTCTCGCCTTCTTTGGAAATGGAGGAGGAGATTGGTTTTAAATTCGTATCTTGCCTTGTTGCTTTTTTGGAAAAGCTCTTCCCAGGAAGTTGAGAAGACAATGTTGGGTTGTTGATGATGAAGATGGGTTTAGAGTGATAATTTAGAATATCAGATGATGAATAATTGATGATAAATGGATGTGAATGATTTTTGTGAAAAGGGTTTGTAGTGGTTTGAAAAAAAAATGAAAAAAAAAAAAACTTAACAAAATTAAAAATAAAACTTGATTTTTGGGTTGTGATTCAAATCAAGTGCAATGAATGATTCGAATCACAAGTTTTTATTTTTGAAAAATAACGCTTTGATTCTAATCAAGTGTAATAGGTGATTCGAATCATGAGTTTTTATTTTTTAAAGAAAATAGCACTTTGATTTTTAATCAAGTGCAATAACTGATTCGAATCAATTCGAGCAGCCTCAAAATGTCGTAACTCCCATACTTATTTGAATCAGGTTCAAAAATTGATTTGAATCAAACAGGCAAATTTTGAAAAAATTTATTGCTAATGAAAAGTGATTTTTAATGAGATGCATGAATTTGATTATGATTAATGATGATAAGTCATTTTAATGCAAATGGTCAAAATGATTTTTTTATTGCAAAATGCACTTTATGTGAATGCGAAGTTTTTTTTTAATGCAAGTGAATAAACGATGATGCATCAATGTATGAATAATGAACAAGAATGCAATTAACGAACGAAATAAAAATTAAACTGATGCATTGAATGATTTGAGCATGACATATATAAATATATCATATACTTCAAGCATACAACACATTTGAACACATAAATAATTACAACTATGCATACAAAAAAAAAAAAGGTTGAAAAGAACATATTAATTTAGATGGTTTAGGCTAAACTTGCTCATACGATAACAAATATTAATAAAACAAAATCATAAGCTAATAATATTTTTTATGATAACTTTATATTTTAATAACTTTTAAAATTTTGATATTAAAAAATCATAACAAAAGGATCCAGTTTAAAATATTTTTTTATGATAATTTATTTAAATCTAAACAAAATAATCATAACAAAATAATTTTATTTATTTATAAAATATACATATAATTTTTTAGCAAAAATATTTAATTATAAAAATCATTAAGAAAAACAGTAACAAACAACTTAAATTATGGGTTCAACAAATTTTTAAGTTAAGCCTTCTATCATAATAGAGACATTACATGCACTCTTATTGAGATCACATTAATTTAATTTTTCAATGCAACAACATCCTCTCTCCGTTTATATTATAAATAAATTTTATATTTTAATTACATTAAATAATTAATGTATTTGATCTTTCTTTATTTTATATTATAAATAAATTTTATTTTTTAAATACATTGAATATTTAATATATTTAAAATTTATAGATCTAGTACATTAATTATTTAATATATTTAACAAATAAATTTACTTTTTAGATACATTGAATAATTAATATATTTAATTTATATATAGATCTAATACATTAAATATTCAATGTTTTTAAAAATAAAATTTGCTTATAATATGAAATAGGATTATATTATAAAAAATTTTACTTTTTGGATACATTGAATAATTAATGTATCTGGTCTATATATAAATCAGATACATTGATGATTCAATGTATCTAAAAAATAAAATTTATTTATAATATAAAATTGAAAGATTATAATATAAGTAAATTTTACTTTTTAAATACATTGAATAATTAATGTATCTGACCTATATATAAATCAGATACATTAATTATTCAATATTTAAAAAATAAAATTTACTTATAATATAAAATGGATCATATTATAAACAAATTTACTTTTTAAGTAAATTGAATAATTAATATATCTGATTTATATATAAACCAGATACATTAATTATTCAATGTATCTAAAAGTAAAATATATTTATAATATAAAATTAAGAGATTATAATATAAACAAATTTTACTTTTTAAATATATTTTACATTAATTATTGAATTGCATCTAAAAAATAAAATTTACTTATAATAGAAAAGAGATGGAGCATCAAATAATAAAATTTACATTAATTATTAGCTTTCTTTCAAAATCCTCAGCGGGTCCCATATGAAGCACGCTATAAACCTAATTAACGATTGTTTAGCCTATGATCATGATATCCCCAACACAAACTGTTACCTGATTCACGCTTATAATCAATAATCTCTCATCCCATAACCCTTAAAAATAAAAACCAACACATATTTTTCTTAGCTCCCAACATTAATAATGAGGCTAATGTCTCTTATGTTTTTAATGTTTTTCTGTGTTTTGATTGTAACAGTAAACACAACTAAAGATATTTTCATATTGGCTGGACAGAGCAACATGGCTGGTCGAGGAGGTGTTTTTAATGGTAAATGGGATGGTATTGTTCCAGTAGAGTGTAAGCCAAGCCCATCAGTTTTGAGACTGAGTTCAAATCTTAAATGGGAAGAAGCTCGTGAGCCGCTTCATGAAGATATCGATGTGGAAAAGACTTGCGGTGTTGGGCCTGGGCTTGCATTTGCAAACGAGATAGTTAGAATGAGAGGTGGTGGAGACGGTGGTTGTGGTGGTGGCGGATGTGTTGTGGGACTTGTTCCTTGTGCGGTTGGTGGGACGAGAATTGAAGAGTGGAGAAAGGGTGGTCGGTTGTATAATGAATTGGTGAAACGAGCTATTGAATCGGTTAGGGATGGTGACGGTGTAATAAGAGCACTTGTTTGGTATCAAGGTGAGAGTGATACTGTAAGAGAAGAAGATGCTGAGAAATATAAGATTAGAATGGAGAATTTTATTCAGAATTTTCGGTTGGATCTTCAACTTCCAACACTTCTGGTTATTCAGGTTAGATTCTTCTTCTGTTTTAATGTTTACAGTTGCATTCATAGTTTACAGTCAGATGATAGACAATTTGTTCAATTGGAGAGTGTTGGTTTTTCTGGGGGCAAACTTGTCAAAAAAAATAGTTGTAGAAATAAAATTAAGATAGGGTCACACTTTATTTTGAATTTCAAATTTCAAATCAGGTGAAGCATGAATACAACTTATACTGATAACAATTAAAAAAGTTCATGGGGCCCAACTAATTTAATAAATGGGCCAGCTTACCAACTTGCAAAAAAAAATTGTTTTTCAGTGACAAAAAGAAATTTGTTTTTTAGATTTTAAATTCCATACTTTTCACTACTTTTGTAATTTTTAAGCATATATTAACAGCACCTAACAAAAAAAGCTATTAAAGATGTTTGTGTCAAAATTTTATTAACATTTTACTAAAAAGCACTATTAAATTTGTGATATTAGTAGTGACAGCATTTGATTACCATTTTCCACCACCACACTTAGGCAACAAAGTGCATATAAAATGCTTAAATTGAAAAACTATGATATGACTTGGGCATTATTCTCATTATGTAGTTTGACATGAGCATTCAAATTATTGTTGCTAACTTGCTATGCATGCAGGTAGCACTTGCATCAGGGGAAGGTAACTTTTTAAAGAAGGTGAGACATGCTCAATTGAGTATCAAGCTTCATAATGTCACATGTGTTGATGCCAAAGGACTACGTCTTAAGGAAGATAATCTTCACCTTACAACAATGTCTGAGGTTCATTTAGGTATCCGGTTAGCTCGGACCTATCTCGCTGTCATCAATCATCATTTACTTTACTAAATGAATAGCGAAGTAAGTCATAATAAATCGGTCGCAGAGAAGCGATCACACATTTTTCATAGTTGCATTAAATTAAGATTGAACAATTCACATTTGTAAATTTGATTTGGTCTTGAGAATGTATGGTTATTTACATGGGAGTTGAGTAAATACTTTCTAAATATGATAACAATAATTTTTTATCATTGATTCATCTAAAGTGAAAATGGCAGGAAACATTGTAGGCTACTTTAAATTAGACCGTACAGAATTAGGAAAATAATTGCATTTGATAAGGTATCTGTATATTTTGGAACATGGTAATTTCATGGAATAATGGAGCTCAACATGGTTTGGACCATATAAAACCTCTTTATATTATACAATTTCATCTGACATAGTGTCTCCATACCTAGTCAGCAAGAATCTAAGAGATTCTTTGCATTTTGTGGTTGTATTTTGTAGTTTCAAATTATTTTCTAACTCATTTTCTTATGGCTTTAATTTGTTTTCAGTATTTTTATGGCAAAAGTTAAACTTTGTATGTGATTTGGCTACACAAACATGATCAAACATATATGTTTTCAAGGTAAATGCAAAGTGTATATATACTATGACAGTATGACTCTACTTATAAGAACGGACACAGTAAATGCATCTAATATTAGAACATAAAATTTACAACCATCATATATGTTTTTATCTTTGTACCTAATCTATAATGCAACCATCAATACCAAGGGAGCAGGCTCATAATTGCTACAACTAAAAAGAAATTTGTGTCTGGTACACAAGAAAAATCCAATTTCCTTCTTCGTCAAGATCACATCACTCGGTTATTCATGAATTACAGACTATGAAGCGCGGACACGTCAAAAATGACTCCGGCACTGACACGGAAACATCATTAATAATTTAAAAAATTGAATAAATTAGATGTAATTGCAAGTGTCGGTGCAGGTGTCCGACACATACACTAACACGCATTTTTTTAAAGGTGTCGGTGCTACACAAATTACCGATCCAGTTTTGCTGCTACTTCCCTCGCCGCTTCCATGCCTCTTGATATAGATTAGCAGCATCAATTTGCAGAGTCCGTCTTGTTACAGTTCCACTTTCATTAGTCCCATTTATCATCAATGGAATTCCTTATCTTCTTCAGTCAAACAATATGATGAAATCTTCTTCAGTCAATTCATTTGTGATCTTGTAACAATTGAAATCTCCATTTTGGACAGCTTTACGACACAGACTAGTCAGCCATTTAACGATTCTCAAGAATAGAAAAGGCACTAAGGAGTACCTTGTCGCAATCCGCGCCCGACAATGAGCCCGGCTTCCATTCACCATTAGTGACATCTGGCTGTTCAAGATGCATGCACGTATTCCAATCTGTTAGATAAACCTTCTATGTCGAATGGATCCAGACTGAATCGTGAACAAAATCACTTTCCTTAAAAGTATTTCAAGCACACTCTCAATTTGTCTTAGAGTTGGAACGGCCTGAATACCCAGGATAAGTCAGCCTTTTTCTCGAAACTGCACAAGACTGATGAAGTTTCGAATGCAAGGAAAATGTTGGAATTATATGGAAGAGGATTTCAGAATTTGGAGTGAATGATTTCGAATTATGAAGCATATATTTATAGCCATGCATGTGTCTTTTCAGAAGTTTGCAATTCTTCATAAACACACTCTCTAATGAGCATTTGCAATGGTTCACATAAAATATCATGCACCACTTCGTCAAGTGTCATGTATTTCAAATTCAAATTCAAAATCAAACTCTAGGCAACGAATAGGTCTGAGCGATAATTAAAAATTAAATTCGCAGTATACCGGCCGAAGGCCGGTCCGCCCGCCGGAGGCGGCCGGAGCGCCACCGGCGCCGCGAATAGCCCGATTGCTCCGATGCGTCGTGCCTAAGTGCTCAAGTGCCGTCTACAAGCCGCCACTAGCGCCTCTACGCCCACGCCCCCGGATCCGGTTCCGGTTCCGGAGCCGGAGCCGGTGTCGCCGGTGGCGACACCGGCGAGGGGTGTTTTGTATGAGACAAGTGACATAAGTTTTGGCACCACCACATGTGACTATGTGGCACTTTATCCTTTTTGGCTCTTTTGGAAATTACATTGTTCCAAGTGCCTTATAAATGCTATTTAATTTTACTCCTCTTCCAATGTGGGACTAAGCATTTATTATAACCCCACTTTGTCATTTTGGAACAACTTTAATGGAAATAAATTATTATTTCCAACAATCCCCCACTTGTTCTAATAATGACAAAATAATAATTCCAGAAATGGGACATAAGAAGTATTAATACAGTTAAGTATCTTTCGATTTTAAACTTAACCTTAGTAAGAATAACACAAGGTTTAATCGGAATATTAGGTAGCAATGCTTTTAAACCATGAATCCATTTGAATAGACCGGTGTTACCTTACACACACTCCTTAAAGATTCTTCCTCTGCATAACTCGCTTAGCACTTATTTATGGCCATGTGCTATCCTGTTTCATGAATTTTTCATGAGAGAAACTCCAACTCTCACTTTGAGACGGCACCATCTCATAATTCACATAGGTGAAGTTCATATAGTATCTGTTTCCAATAGATACGTACCCTCGGTATTGAACTTCATTAAGAGTTTAAGATAAAACTCAACCCTCTTTTCTAATGTCAACATAATTATGAAATGTTAGACAATTATCCAAATCAACGACTTGTTGTTACCCATTGAAAATCTTAACGTTAATGTTCTGTTAACTTAAGATTGGGTTGCCGCCATTGTCGGAACTCTTACTCAAGGAGTTTCAACCCCATACCTCTCGAGGTTGTTCTTACTAAGTCTCTGGCCAGTGGCTTAGTAAACGGATCAGCCAAATTATAGCTTGTTCGTATATACGTAAGTGAAATGATTCCATCCTTAATCAGTTTTCTTACGAACGAATGTCTAAGTCCTATATGTCTGGACTTTCCATTATACACTTCGCTAAATGCTCTTGCCAAAGTGGCCTGACTATCGCAGTGTATCATTACCTTTGAAACATTGTCTTTAGCCAATGGAACTTCCAAAAGAAGATCCCTCAACCACTCTGCCTCTTGACTAGCGGAAGCGAGAGCCACGAATTCTGATTCCATGGTCGAAAGAGTAATGCATGTTTGTTTCTTGCTCTTCCAAGAGATTGCTCCTCCAGCTAGTGTAAATATCCACCCAGTTGTAGATTTGTGATTTCCCACGTCAGAGATCCAACTGGCATCGGTATATCCTTCTAATATAGCAGGAAACCTACCATAATGAAGGCCAAGATCCTTGGTTTTCAACAAATAACCAAATATCCTCGTGATTGCCTTCCAATGTTCATTACTTGGATTACTAGTAAATCTACTCATTTTACTAACTGCAAATGATATATCGGGTCTAGTACATTGCATTAAGTACATAAGACATCCGATCGCACTTGCATATTCTAATTGAGCCACTGCTCTTCCATCATTCTTTTCAAGTTTGATTACATGATCAAATGGAGTAGTTACTTCCTTGAATTTCAGGTGTTTGAACTTATCAAACATTTTCTCAATATAATGTGTTTGAATAAGTTCATAACCCCCACTGTTTTGCTTAACTTTTATTCCTAAAATTGTGTCAACAAGCCCAAGATCTTTCATCTTGAAAGTGGAAGTTAGAAACCTTTTTGTTTCTAGAATTCCATTAAGTCTATTGCTAATTATTAGCATGTCATCAACATAAAGACACAAAAATATTACAGTGTTATTATACACTTTTGTATATAAACACTTGTCACAAGAATTAGGAATAAATCCATTTGACATTATCGTAGAGTCAAACTTTTGATGCCATTGTTTTGGTGCTTGTTTTAAGCCATATAGAGATTTGACAAGTTTGCACACCTTCTGTTCATTTCCAGGGAGGACGTGTCCTTCTGGTTGTTCCATGTAGATTTCCTCATCGAGGTCTCCGTTTAGGAATGCTGTTTTAACATCCATTTGATGAACAATCAGATCATTTAAAGATGCTAAAGCAAATAACAACCTTATAGTGGTTGTTCTCGCTACAGGTGCATAAGTGTCAAAATAATCTATACCTTCCTTTTGTCTAAATCCTTTTGCCACTAATCTTGCTTTATAAGTGTTTAATGTACCATCACTGTGATATTTCTTTTTAAACACCCACTTGCATCCAATGGGTCTTGATCCCTTTGGTAAATCAACAAGTTCCCAAGTGTGGTTGGACATAATTGAATCCATTTCATCTCGGATAGCATCTTTCCAAAAAGAGGAGTCTCTTGAAGCTATTGCTTCCTTATAAGTTTTAGGATCTTCCCCTACTTGAAGAATTACCGGAATGCTTTTAATAAAATTTGTACTATTTCCTTCAACCAGATAAAATGAAATGGATTGAGAATCAATTTCGTCTGGTCGTAGGTTCTTTATTTTCCGGACTCTTTTGCTTATCCTAGGTTCGGGTAGTGGTTCATTTATCCGAGATGTGTCTTCAGGTTGTATTTCTACAATCTGAGAAGAGTCTTTTTCACAAGATTCTTTATTTATGGCTGACTCTGATTCTTTATCCTTAGTTATAAGGTTTTCAAAGAATTCTACATCCCGGGATTCAACAATAATATTAGACTCTAAATTTAACAGTCTATATGCTTTGCTATTTTGTGCATATCCTACAAATGCACATCTTATCCCTCGAGGACCCAACTTGGTTCTCTTAGGATCCATGTTTTTGTAATATGCCACACACCCCCACACCTTAAAATAGCCAATATTTGGTGTCATGCCCTTCCATACCTCATATGGAGAAATTCCACTTTTCTTTAAGGGAATTCTATTTATTATGTGACAAGCGGATAATAAAGCTTCGCCCCACAAATTGAAAGGTAGTTCGGAATGCAATAACATGGCGTTCATCATTTCTTGATATGTTCGATTCTTTCTTTCTGCTATGCCATTTTGTTGTGGTGTTCTAGGTGCCGAACATTCATGTATTATAC